CGCTGGGTACCAAGCTGACTTTGTCAATAGTGGACCATCCGCAGACCGATGGTCAAGCTGAGTGCGTGAATCATGTCGTTAGAGACGTCCTTCGCAGCGACTGTGCTTAGACGCCGATGCGCTGGAATGCCATGATGCCACTTGTGGGTTCGCTCTGAACAATGCCGTGCATGCGTCTACCGGCTACACGCCATTCTACGTGAGCGGGCTTGTTAATCCTCGCGTCCCGCTGACACCGCCATCTCATGGCCCAAGGCTTGCTGGCGGAGAAATAGCCGAGCGGCTAGCTGATGTCAGCCCTCTCACTGTGTGTAAAGAAGTCGAAGACTTCCTGTCTACCAGACTGCGTGTCCTACGACACATTCGCGGTGCAATGGCTGAAAGCCAAGACATGCAGAAAGAATATACAGACGGAAGAAGCAGCATGTGTCGGAGTCTCTTGTTTATAAATGCTATGAATTTTCCTGGACATACAGGCTTTGATTTCTTCACGAGAAAGCTCCGTCCACGGTTTATTGGACCTTTCAAGGTCGTGGCTAAGCGATGACTTGCGTATACGCTAACCTTCCGAGAAGGATGCGCACCCAACTGGTGATTTGTGTGGACTTGCTTAAGCCGTACCGGGAATTGACACAAGTGAACGCGGAAGCGTCGGCGCCAGGGCATTGCTCAAAGGCGATTGGTCACCCAGAAGCTGAAGAGCATCTGGCTTGGAGTTCGGAGTGTAACGATCTTCTTTTCAACGCACGAAGTAACGTATTTGTCTGCTCGACGGCTCGAGGCCGCTCTGACATAGCGCAATAGTCCTCAACGTGAGGCAGTCGGTACACAAAGTGCTCCAGGCTCTCGAGGACGTCCGCACAGCGGAAGGCGACCTCAGCTAGAATCTCGGCTGAGTGCCGATGACGACGGGCTCTTTCCTCCAAGGCTCGAAGAGCATCGCGAGTCACCGAACTACAATCAAAGAAGCCGTCATCACCCACCACCGACTCTTCTCGATGAGAAAGGTGACGTATACTATCTCGCGGAACGCCTTGTGGTTCGACGTCGTCGGCAGGGTGAAGCCCAATATCTTGTGAAGTGGCGGTGATACCCCGACTCCGAGAACTCGAGGTACCACGTCGGCAAGATTGCCCAGAGGTCGTAATCGCGTTGATAAGAATGATCATGACGCTTCGCATCGCCGTGCGCTCCGGTCTCGGCGGTAGATCGAAAAAACGGAGGGCCATGAACCGCTGTGGTCTAAACTCACCCGTGTGAGAAACCACAGAGCTCGCGAGAGCGTGATGGATGATTCCAAGTGTCACAGGACGAGCATACGCAGAAAGGCTGCGTTGCGCCTTGAGTTTGGGAAAATCGAACCGAAGGTGGCGCTCTAAGCGCACGTCTACGTAGTTGTGGCTCCGCTGTAAGTTGAACAGCGAAAAAAGTTTCTGGTGCCGCTACACCCATCGCACAGAGAGCTCCACAGTATCAGCAGCGGGAAAACCAGGGGCGAGCGCCACAGGAATAGTCTGCATATGCGGGTACAAGAGCGCCTCCTCTTTGAGCACGAAATCGAGCGCAGAAATTATTTATTGGGATCTCTCGAGATACCAAGAAGCGAGCTCGGGGATCTTTTCGTTGATCAAGCTCAGCTTGTGTAGTGGCCGGGGGCCGATTACGTAGAAGCCGAATGATCAAGTGATCGTGACTTTCGCTTTAGTAGCGGGATCCACCGAGCGAAAGCCGTATTCCACACGAGGGTCTAGGACTGAACGTGGATACGAGCGCATGAGAGCCGCCCTGTGTGCAGCCTCCAGCTGCTGCTCCTAGGCCTCGTTGATGCGATACCACTTCCCCCGGAAGTCGAGAGGTCGGGGAACGGACACAGTGTCCGCAAGGTTCGTGCAAGGCTCACGTCGCGCCGTTGGCGAACCTCGCCTTCTTCGCCTTCCCATGCTGGGAAAAGAGTATCCGACCCGTAGTCAACTTCCTCCACATCCTCAACGAGGATATCTGTCGCCCGTGGTGGACGCTGGGGGCTTGAGATGTGCTTCCCGTGAAGCCGCGGTCGTACTGTCCGGAGATACACTCCGTGCAGACGAAGAAGAACCTTGCCCGTGAGCGCCCTCGGAACCAGCTATGCTGGATGTTTCTCGCGTCATAGACACAGGGCTTATTGAGCGGAGAATGTTCAAAGATGTTCTTAAGGACGTCACGGTGTCTTTGATACGCGAGCCTCGTATGAGGCGACAGTTAAATGTGGTGTTGTGGGTATTCGCAATTTTTATGGGGGAGGGTGTTACAGGGTTACACGTACCCTTGAATAAAAAGGCGGGTCACACAGGATGGTGTGACCACACAATGGTGCACACACAAAACAATGGTGTGGCTACACCGTAACAAGAAGCCACTATTACTGCCAGGGTGCGACCGTAGCTTTGAGAGGAAGCTAAGCTAAGGTCACCGACCTTACGTTCTGTACAGAAATCAGTACGAGTGTAGCGGATCGCAATCCACTGCCTCCAAGAGTACTTGAAACCTTGACCAAGGTATAGACGCTCTTTCTTTATTTGCGGCAGAGCCGCCTACAGCTAGAACCTTAAGTTATTCAATACAATATAGTAACACCTAATTAAATGCAACACTGTTCCACTTTACCAAATACTAATTACACACCAGTGTTTACTATCGGTTCCACAGTCTCTCGCTATAACTCGGCTGAGCACGCCCAATTCCGAAACAGACTCCAGCCATGCTACACCGAATCCCACACAGCAGCACCACAATAATGAAGCAGTTCATTAATTTGAGCAAGATGTTAGCTCTTGGGTTGTACCTTATCTAGCGTCAGCACGATATAATGATGGGGCTTGTGAAGGCGTTGCCTGTGCGACACTGGAAGAGCTACAGGAGACGGAGGGCTACGGGTGGTGATGTATATAGCGAAGTTTGACTCTACGCATTATGCACTACCGACTGCGATTTCTTGATTGTTGCTGATACGTTTGTGCACCTTGGTGATGAAACCTTGGATATTTGTGTTTTGAAAGTCGTTGATGGTGCATGATCAATATTTAATGCCGCTGCAAGTCCTTCAGTAAGACGCTTGAGCCCTGAGATCTATCCTGATTCTTGATAGAGAGACATGCATAAGCGAAATTGTCCACACGTTGGTCCATTTTAGATTGGAATCTCGATATTCTAAAGTTCGGTTTCAAGCAAAAAAAACATGGAAGCAAAATTTGATGAGTGCAACAAGCGGGATCTCTGCTGTCTGCGGCGCTTGTGCCAATCAAAGTGGGTCTTTTGTACCACGCACACCATGCGGCATGAACGTGAGTTGGTCAAACTCGGTCTTGTCTTTTTGTTTGGCGTACTAGGTGGGTTTATGCATCTGAGACATACATGGGTGCTGCGAGGTGTCTGTACATTGAGGCAAAGCTGGATCATGAAGACCTGTTGGGACTTGATTCAAGAGCCTCTCTACTAATTCATGCATCATTAACATGGCGACGATTTGCACGCCGTAATAACGGGCGTGAATGACGATTACACGCGTTGCATTATGGCTAGATCGATGGCGAGCAATTAGGGAGCACCTGTCTTGACAGTCAGTTATGTTATTCTCGTCGGATGTCTTGGCTCGCTCCAAGCAAAGATAGAAGACGTCGCAAGCACTGACCAACAAATTCCGTTTGTAAACTATCACTAGGTCCGACGCTTGGCCGACGAAGTATCGGACAAGACCTAAACAGAGTAGAAGCACGGAACACACTATCCGAACATGCGGGAGTATTCAGATACGACAAAATTTTTCTGAAGTTAACTTAGTGCAAGGATTTGCTGTATGAACCGCCGTCATTCCATATTAGGTCGTATTGATCAAACTTTCTTCATTTTGGGCAGCCGAACAGCAAATTTACTCCCAGGTATATTGGCAACAGGTAGAGCAGCCGCAATACAGCGGGACTGCTGTAGCTGCTTGCTAAGGAAAGCTAAGCTAAGGTCACCTATCTTACGTTCTATTTTATAACCAGTACGAGTGTTGCGGATCGCAATCCGCTCACTTCAAGAGTAACTACAACCTCATTCAAGGCAAATATACTCTTCCTTCTTAAACCCAAACAGTATTTTTTGTTTCGTCTCCGGCAAAGCCGCCTATACCTATATCTAAAGGATTCCCAAATTAAATAGTAAAGCCGAATTAAAATGCATGTCTACTGGCGGTCCCGCCACGTAGTGGCTTCATTTTAGATGTAGCCACACCATTGTGTGATCATACCATCTTGTGTGACCCACCCCTTCATACCAGGGTACGTGGAAACCCGTTACCCCCCCCCTCCCATACATATTGTGAATACCCACAATTCATATTTTACTGTCACCTCGTGCGAGGCGCGTCTCTGAGACATCGTAACGTTCTAAGGACCATCTTCACACATTCTCTGCTCAGTAAGCCCTATGTCTTTGACAAAAAACTCCCGGCCAAGCTGGTTCCCAGATCGCCCGCGGGGAGAGCCTCCTGCACGCGGTACAACTCCGGACAGCACGTCCGTGAGTTTACGAAAAGCACATCTCAAGCCTCTGCAACCGAGTGCCACAAACCCCGCCCCCACGGGCGACGAGTTTTCTTGTTGAGGATTCAGATGACTACAAGTCGAATACTTTTTCTCAGCATGGGAAGACGAGGAGGGCGAGGTGCGCCAACGGCGCGACGTGAGCCCTGCTTAAACATTGCGGACACCGTGTCCGTTCCCCGACCTCTCGACTCGGGGAAAGTGGTATTATTTCCAATTACCTCGGGGATGCACAGGAGCAGCGGTTGGAGGCTACCAACAGGACGGCTCTTATGCGCTCGTATCCACGTTCGGTCGTAGCCCTCGTGTGGAATACGGCTTCCGCTCGGCGGATCCCGCTACTGATGCGATGGACGCGATCACTCGATCATTGGGCGTCAACGTAGTCGGCCCCCCAGCCACTAAACAAGCCGAGCTAGACCAACGAATAGCTCTACAAGCTCCCTTGTTGGTCTCTCAAGAAATCCCGATGGATAGGCACCGCGGCCGACTTCACGCTAAAAGAGGAGGCACTCCTGAACCCACAATGCGGACGATTCCTGTGGTACTCGCCCCTGGCAAAACTGCTGCAGATGACGAAGAGAACTTTGAGCGATGGGTGAAGCGGCACCGAAAACTTTCCTCGCTGTCCAAATTACAGCGGAGCCACATGTCCGTGGAACGCCTTCCTCGGTTTGAGTTTGCTAAACCTCAGGCGCGACGCCGACCTCCTTCGTTTTGTCGCCCTGCGACGCATGGATATAGCCAACATGCTCCCGCGAGGTCTGTGGTCTCTCACACGGGTAAGACTACGACCACAGTAGCTCAGGGCCATAGCTTGGACCCAGCTCATGACCCTTCGGCTCCCCCTATTGCCGAGAAGCGCGGAGCGTACGACGACGCAGAGCGTCATGATTCCTCTGATTATAAGCGTTCACAACGTCTGGGCAGTCCTGCCGACGTGGCACCTCAAATCTTGGTGTTTGGGTATTCCCACCGTTTCACAAGATATTTGGTCAAACCTTGTCGACGACGTCGGGCCACAAGGCGTTCCACGTGGCAGTGAACGCCAACATTCTCATCGAGAAGAGTCGTCGGCGGGCGATGACGACTTGGTCGATCGCCGTCCGGTGACTCGCGATGCTCTTCGAACTCTTAAGGACAAATTCCGTCGCTATTGTTGCTCCACTGAGCATCAGCTGAAGGCGAAAACCGCTGTGCGGAAAACCTCGAGAGCTTGGAGCACTTTGTACACCGACTGTCTCACGTTGAGGACTATCGCGCTCTGCCGAAGCGGCTCCTAGTCGTCGAGCAGTCGAATGCATCACTTCGTGCGTCGATAAAGCACCTTGCGCTGTTGGAGATGGACAATCCATGCTCAATACAAGTTGCTGGTTCAGCTCCTGGATGGCCGAGTGCCTCTGGTTGGCCAAGTGCTTCTAGATGGCCAAGTGCTTGGCCACGCCCCGGCGCCAACGCTTCAACGATCACTTGCGCCGAATCCCGGAACGGCTTTAGCAAACCCACAAAAAACACCTCGTGGGTGCGTATCCTTTTCGAAAGATTTGCATTTACGCAAGACCTCGCTTGGCCATGACCTGAAGAGGTCCAATAAACCGTGGACGGAGCTACATCTTAAAGACAGAAGAAACTACATGTGTAGAAACGTTTACAGCATTTGATAAAACCAGGTCTCCCACATCAAACTTTTCAACATTTCTGTTGCTTCTTCCATCTGTATATTCTTTCTGCATGCCTTGGCTTTCAGCCATTGCATCGCGAATGTGTCGTAGGACACGCAGTCTGGTAGACAGGAAGTCTTCGACTTCTTTACA